AAAAAAAAAAAAAAAAATAAATAAATAACCCGCTACATTAACGGAACTGAGGACCATACTTGACATGTACGGAAACACCAAACAATCAATCCGGACTAACAACCACAGTAGTAAATGTATCCGCAAACAACCCAAATACATCACAATCGTGTGTCGAACGTGGTAGTGGGTGTCCGTGTCGGTGTACTCGAGCGAGCCCTCGATGACGATGTCTGTCTCGGGATAAACAAATTCACTGCACTAACGGGGGAAACGACCATAGCACTTGACGTGCCTAGAAACATCAACCAATCAATCGGGACTAACGACCACTGTAGTTGAGGTGTCTGGAAACATCAACCAAGCAATCCGGTCTAACGCTTAATGTAGTTAACGTGTCTGGAAAAATCAACCAATCAATCTGTACTAACGACCACAGTAGTTAACGTGTCTGGAAACACCAACCAAGCATTCCTGTCTAACGCTTATAGTAGTTAACGTGTCTGGATACATCGACCTACCAATCGTAGTGTCATTGCCAAAATACATCACAATGGTGTGTGCGTACGTCGTAGTCGGTGTCCGCGTCGGTGTACTCGAGCGAGCCCTTGATGACGATGTCCGTGTCTTTGGACCTCTCGGGATAAACAAATTCACTACACTACCGGAAGTAACGACCATAGCACCTGACGTTTCTTGAAACATCAACCGATCAATCCGGGCTAACGACTATAGGAGTTAACGTGTCTGGAAACATCAACCAATCAATTCAGACTAACGACCATGGTAGTTAACGTGTCTGGAAACATCAACCAATCCAACCGGTCTAACGCTTATAGAACTTAACGTGTCTGGAAACATCAACCAATCAATCCAGACTAACGACCAAAGTAGTCTGGCAACATTAACCAATCAATTCGGTCTAACGACCATAGTAGTCTGGCAACATCAACCAATCAATTCTGACTAACGACCATGGTAGTTAACGTGTCTGGAAACCAAGCAATCTTGTCTAACGCTTATAGTAGTTAACGTGTCTGGAAACATCAACCTATCAATCGTAGTGCCATTGCCAAAATACATCACAATAGTGTGTGCGTACGTCGTAGTCGGTGTCCGCGTCGGTGTACTCGAGCGAACCTTCGATTACGATGTCTGTGTCGTTGGACCTCTCGGGATAAACAAATTCACTACTTTAACGGAACTAACGACCTTAATATTTAACATGTCTGGAAACATCAACCAATCAATCTGGACTAACGATCATAGTAGTTAACGTGTCTGGAAACATCAACCAATCAATTCGGACTAACGACCATGGTAGTTAACGTGTCTGGAAACATCGACCAATCAATCCGGACTAACCGTCATAGTAGTTAACGTGTCTGGAAACATCAACCTATCAGTCGTAGTGCCATTGCCAAAATACATCACAATGATGTGTGCGTACGTGGTAGTCGGTGTCCGCGTCGGTGTACTCGAGCGAGCCCTCGATGACGATGTCGGTGACGTTGGCGCGCGGCGGCTTGAGCGGCGTGGGGCTGAGCACGG